ACTGTGTTGAGGCACACAGAGTTACTTTCCACCTCTGATCTCATCATCTCTCTCTCTCTCTCACCCGCTTGCTCTTGTCCCTCCCTCTTTCTGGCACTTTGCCTCTCTGACTGGCAGCGAGCCTGTTGAAAGTAGGCTAGGATTGACGCGCTGCTTGTGTCTGAGTCACAGAGAGCTGTGGAATACTGAAACCCACTGATTGCATTTAACTTTAGGCATCCGACTCCCATGCAGTGCATGATACAATAGAGCCATCCACTCTTGTTTCTGTGCCTCAATGCTGACGTTTATGGCTGCACTTACAAGCAGAAAAAAAGAAAAAAGATTGGTCTGACGCCGTGTACAATTGCACAGATGGTTATTTAGAGGCATTTTCATCACAACGGAAAAAGTAATGTCACTCAGAACATAGTACGGCAACAGTAAAGAGACATTATCCTTGTTGTCGTTGCAAAACAGTGGTTTAGGATGGCGTGCCAAATAAAATAAAAATACAAAAAAAACAAAGGATAAAGAAAAAAACCAAAATTTTTTACATTTTCTGCCATGTTACATTAACTTCTCCCTCACACATAGCTCGCAAGCATCTCTTTAATTTATGCTTCATCATTAAGTGCTGTCAAGGCCCTGTTTTCAGGAGGTCAGCAGTGCCATGGTCAACCATAGCCCTACTTACCTGCTTAACACAGAGGAAAACAACTATATGAAGCCTGATACCACCAAGCTAGATAAAATTAAATGACGTGAAAAAATTTTTGTCTCAGAAGAGTCTGCAACCAAGGTTGTGACGCATGCACAGTCGAATGTTTTACCTTCTCCACATACCGCTCTAAATCATCCCTGTGCGTGTGTGCCGTGTAAACTCGCGAGCTTGTTACTTGTCTAATGAGCCACAAGGATTACACCATATAAACACAAGTGCACGGACATAAACAGGACAAAGGCGAGCGGCGGCGGAGATGGGAACGAGAAAGACTGGAAAAGATGCGAGTGTAAATAATCTAACTGGCTCTCCACACACGGATGTCAAGGAGGTCATGGGAATTTTCCTATTCAGTGAGCATTAACTTCATGATACAAACTGTTCATTGTGGGCTCCCTGTGGGATTATATTGTCTAATCTAAACCAAAAAACTGTGGCTGTAACATCTGCAGAAAATCAGGCACTAGTTTACCAGCAAATGTGAAGTAAAACAAAAGCCAAACAAATGTAGCGAAGACAAATCAGACACAAGCAGAGCCTGAAAAACAACATAAATACTACAGAGAGTCGAGAGAAGGTGGAGGATAACACTGAGGCAATCTTTGGCTCCTCGCAACGAGGACAACGAGTTCGTACCTCTGCTCGTAAGATACACACAAAACAGTCAGCTGTGATTAGCGGAGAAATCTCTACAAATCTTAATCATTTACTCCATTCTTTGCATGCCATCACTGAAAGAATAAACCAGCTAGTACGCAAGCCAAAGGGTGTGTGGAGGTGCAAAATAACATGACTGCTACACCACTATAAATCAAACACCAAAGTTTGCCTGAAGTCCTCTCCTTAAACTTAGGATTTATTGCAAGCATTTGGTATCAATCCATATCTTGTAGTCCTGAGTGCATTCATGATTTTTACACTAAAAACTGCCATGACAATAAAGAAAATCTGTTAAATATCTGAAAACAGGCAGGCAGGAAACTCGTGCATCTTTGCAGAAATAAAAGTTCAAAAGTTTATGGTTTCATCTTGATTCAAATATTAATAAATTCAGGGCTCTGCGTTTTTAATTTCACCTCAAGTGCTTCAGCTAATGCAGTATACACAGGCCATGTTTACATAGGTGTGGAGGGAGACAGTAAACTTTGCCAAGAAAGAATTACTGCTGGATTTAGACGATACGAGTTTTCAAGCAGCTACAGAGGCCTGAACCACCACTTTAAAGATCATGTAAGAATGAGCTTTGAGGGGTTTTTGACCTGAAAGACAAAACAGTCCTCGTCGCAGTTTAATTTTTGCTGTACCGATCGAGCCGAAACACAGAATACAGCAAAGATGAGGAAGGAAACTGTAGAGTGGCCGAAAGAAGAGCTGTGGCATAAGAGTATGAGACGCTTTGGTTGGCTGGGGGGGGAGAAATCTGATCAAATTTCTCTCGGTTAGGTGGGGGAAGCCTGTGAGAGTTATGCAATGTTGTTGGGATATGGAGCCAGAAAGGGGTGTAAACAACACCGCTCTCAAGTGGGACAGGCCTAATCGTTGCCTAGTAACAAGTATTTTGGGCCAGACCAAGCAAACATGGCCCGCCTTCCAAAAGGAAACAGGGGCTGGCCTCATGAGCACAGTGCAAGTTAGTGACTTCCCGAAAATACGCTAAGAGACAGGGGCAAGCAAAACAAAGCACGTCAGGGGCATTAGACAACACCAACCACTTTCTATTTTTTCATTTTTACCTAGCTTGGCAGGAGTCTAGACCACCGCAAGTTGTAAACACACAAACTTGCGATGAAGTAAACAGTCTGGAGGGAGGATTGCAGTCTAGAAACTCCACACCATCTCTGACTAAAGTCTAGCCGTGACTAACTATTTAGGCCCATGGAGCCTATGAAGAAACTTGTGAAAAAACTTCAGCATTAGGTTTACAACCTTTACAAATGCAACCCTACTTGATGATTAGTACACTTGGCAAAGCAAATTCCTGCTGCTCACTGATAAAGTGTTGCTGTTTTAATTATAATCTATATGATCCAAGCAACTTATTGACGCTGAGTAGATCACCTTTAATTCACTGGAATGAAAGTTAATGACCTGTTTCACAACATTATAATTAATGCATAATTAATCACTTCTGCAGGTACAGGAGTAATTACTGCCCACCTTTTGTGTAACAGTTAATGTGTTTATTGCACGAAATAAGAACTGAGGCCATACCAACTGCATATTTAACGACACAGCGACTAGCGCATGGAGTCGGGAATTTTACCGGCGACTGCTCGGACGGTATGACAGCTAGTTTAGTGATGTTGAACCTGTAACTGCCTGAGGGTAGTTCAGGCAGCACAGGGTGGAAAAGGAAGATTAAAAAAACGGTCGTTAACGGTTAAAAGTGCGCTGAAACAACAACAGTCGCCGCACTGCTCTCTGCTCCTCTCCGCTGCTGCCACTGTTCTCTGTGCAGAAAGAATCCGGAAGCCATATTGTGTGCGGCTGCTGTCTTGTCACCCATAGCCGGTTGCCACGGAAACCGGTTGCTAAGCGGCATAACAAAAAAGACCAAATTTATACGTGCTTGCGTCAGATGCAACGGCGTATCCATGGCGACGCAACGCTACACACATTCAGCAAACCCGTGTACAGCACATGGCCCCTGCCTCTTTTAGCACACCGTGTCTCTTTTTAACCGCTTGTTTTAGAGATTATTAAAAGTAAACACGTCTTCTTCTGTCGCTGGGAAGCATGTCTGTATTTTTAATCGGACTAGATATATGTTGTGTTAAAATAGCGGAAGCTATGTTAGTCGGCAGTGATTGGTTTCCCCGTGAATGTGGGCTGCCTTTCCTGCGTTATCAGCCATTCACCTTAATAATTCCCCATCAGGAACAATTCGCATCGACGGAGTTAGTCATCCCGGTTCAGCCGCACGGCACCGGTAGCGGCAGTCCGGATGGGACACAGCGTCCTCCGTGGATCCTCGTCTCTGACGTTGTTGCGGCGCTGACTAATAACTCGTTATCCCCAACTCTTCCCTTTTTGCTCACGCCTTTTCACACACCGACTGTATTGCCGTAGCCCTCTCGCAGCAGCAAGCCCGCCCAGTGACACTGTGTGACATCACGAACACAAAACGTAGGCCTTGTATTTCACATTTTCATTCATGATTTGACACCCCATGTTCCCGCATTTGGCCCTTGGAGCGACCCTCCTCCCCCCAAGCCAATGCCAAACTCCCACCTGCCACATTCCCACTGCTGTCCGCATGTAGGCTTTAATAATGAATCACTTTTGTGCTCGTCCCGGTGATGTTTGCAATGACAGGCGCAGATTTCCGTCACTGCTGCCCACTGTACATGTCAGAATAACACTGCTGTTTACCAACTAATGTTTATTTTTCCTTTTTTTTTCTTCAGGAGGAGGAGGAGGAGAGGGGTGTGAATAAGACCGATGTTCTGACACTCTCTGAGTGCTCTCTGACTGTCCTGCCCACACTCAAATCCATAACAGATTAGGTGTATACATTTTAAAAGTTGTAAAACCTCGCTTGGCGTCGTACCTGCCCTCGGGTTTAAGGAGTGTTCAGGCACAGAAGAAAAGGAGGCTTTCCTTTCATTAAAACATTAGGCTCACAAGCACAGAGGACTCCCGAGGGCGTGTCCTGAGAAACTTTTCAGCAGGATTTCCCTCGCATGTTGACGGGATTCCGTCCTGAGCTGTGAGTATTGCATAACTTAATCCATTGTTTTTCTTCTGGTGTTTTCCAGGTTACGTATTATATTGTAAATAAAGAAAATAAATGAAATAAATAAATAAAGGTTACTTATCTATCCCAGTTACAATATCTACAGAATATATATTATAGGTTTATCCAATATATAGCAGACTAATAACAATTACAATTGGGTAAATGTGCCACTGATTTCAACGTAACAAACCTTCACATTATAGGAATATTATGTATTGCTATGACTAAATAAATGTCCCAATCAAAACACACGCAAACAGAGTCCTAAATAGATACTTTCCATATTTATCACCCCCGAGCTTCTTAAAATTTCCTCTCAGAAATTGTCAGACGGTGAGAAATATCTCATGCCCGTGATATGACCAAAAAAAAAAAAGAAGAAAGAAGAAAGTCTATTATTATCCGTCGACGAGGTGAGATTCTGGTCCATTTCAGTGGCAGAGGGAATCCCTCAACGTCACCAAGGATACCAAACACAACATCAGGCACAAATATGGTCATGTACGTCAGCGGAACTCCGAGGCGGGACTAGACCGTTGAAATGTCTTGCTTCTACTCTGGGCTTCATTCATAAGACAAGATCTGCTACTGTGCACCGTAATATAGCAAGCGTCCTCCGGCGTTCCGTGAGCGGACTTTATGGATGTATATTTGCACGTTTGATAAGGTCGGATAACGGAGAGCACTGAGAGGATTTACCGCTGAACCGGGGAGGACTTCTTCGCAGATTGAACTGGTAGACCTCCCTCCCCCGTCTAAAAGCGGGGAACTGGATTAAGAGTCTTCATGCAACTTTTTTGGAAAGAGACCAAGAGCGTTTCACCGGGGAATAACAAGAAGACTTACATAGGTAAGAAACGCTTACTTTTTGTGGCTGTGAGCGCAAACGGTTTGAGAGCAAAAGTCGCTTTTTGAAAGCGCACTATTTTAAAGTAGGTCGGGAGCATCTGTCCGCTTCAGACGGCTTCATAGGAGATGCTTAAAGACAGTTTCCCCTGCTGACACCGGTTTAAACGCATAAAACACGCTGCTGCAGGCTACTTATTAACCGCCTGCCATCATTTATGAGAGAACAGCCTAATTTAAAGCAAGCGCCAGCTGGCTTGTGTTAAGTGCACCGAGTTTAACATCAGTCATTCTCTCATTACAGTACCTCTCCTCCTTTAGTAATCTTCTTGTGTGTGCCGCTGCCCTGCCGCTGCAGGTGACATCGCTCTCTCTCCGGTACCTGCAGGTGTCGCGTTCTCTTTCGGCCCCCCCGGGGAGATGTACCAAGGATTTCCCGGCGACCCAGACAGCGGTTCCCGTGGAAGCTCGTCTCCATCTATAGAGTCCCAGTACCTTTCCTCCGTGGACTCCTTCGGGAGCCCGCCGACCACCAGTGCTCCACAGGTAAGTTCCAGTCAGCAGACTGGAAATGTAATGAAAACAAAAGTCGGAGAGCGTTTTTACCTCAGATTGTTTATTCGTTTAAAAATGCAATATGACTGACACGCGATCACTGGGTATGAACCTGTCATTTAATTATGACATGTGCTTTTGCTTAAACACACTCTGCATGGTGTGTCAGTTGTATAAATATACAGAATATAAAGGTATTTATGGCTTATGAAGCAGTGGGCTCTGTCACCGCTAACAGAAGACCGACTACACCAAGTCAGCACATTTGGTGTATCCGGTCTTTCTGCAGTCAGAACTTAAATGACCGGGATGACTGGATGTAAATTCAACGTCTGTGTGTTGACTGTAGCCCCGGTGGCGGCGTTGACAACGTGCTCAGCGCGGTTGACAGCGCTCTGGAACTCTCCGACGTAAGCGCCGCAGCCCCGCCCCTTTGCCCCGCTTCTCTCCTTCCACTCGCTCCGCTCTCCTCTCGCCGTGACGTAAATGCCCGTTCTATTTTGGAGTGCTACGTCGCGTTGCCAAGGGGAACACCGGGGGTGTGAGGGAGGAGGAGGAAGGAGGCGGGAGAGACGCCGTTTAGAGAAAAACGATTGGTGGAGGCGGTCGCTCTCAGAGCCGTCGGTCCAAACGTCTGAACGCGCTTTCAAATGAATATTAATGAACGGCGATACTCCCCCGAGTATGAAATATAAAATACCAGCGACAGATTTGAGCTTTCCACGACTATTTTTAGACATGGGCGCAGAGGAAAACTTAATAGCCCGTCTTTTTTATTTTAACAATAAAAACACCTACAGTCGTAAATTTCAAGTTTTTTTGTTGTTGTTTTTTTGCTTAAAGTTAAACAAAACATTCTTGAACACCCTTTTAATTCAAATTCTCTATATAATGAGAAATCCAAGGCTGCTACCTTAACACGTTTTGGCTCCTACCTCTACAACAAATAGCATTTCTCCACTCTTTGGTAAATCCCACGGAAAAGGTGGTTAAATGAATATCAAGAAATGGAAACAAGTCAGAAACTGGGTCTAGGTAATATAGGCCTACAACAGGGGTGTAAAACAGAAGACCCAAGTGTCAGAAGTGGCCACAAAAGTTTTTAATCTGGCCCACTTGACAGCTTTGGAAAATGTGAAGGAGTGCATAAATTTTAGATTTTCTGCTGTATTTTTTTTCATAGGTTTTATGGCTTTTGTACTTCTCCCACGGCTATTTATACTTCACCAAAGTAGTAACAGATAAACAGCTAAATGGCAGAATGTTCCTGTTTTTTCACTGTCTACTATAGAAATGCATGATTTATAAAGTAAGTTTACAATAGAAAAAATAAATAAATAAAAAGAGGACATTCTGTCTGTCAACTAACAAACATTTCCAGCTTTATAATTGCAGGACAGTCTGCGCAATGAGCTAACAGAACTTCTTCCTTAATTTTACAGATTTATTTCTTACAATTTAAGCCCAAAGTGGAATTTCTCTATCATCTAGAAAAACTGAGTCATATCACCTAAAACTGCACTTGTTTTTCTTATATTAAAATATTTCAGGGGTTTAATGTATGATTAAATGTCTGTAGGCTGCATGTGGCCCACAATGTGAAATGAGTTTGATACCCCTGGCGTAAAATGTCTGATCACTAAGGAGTCTTAAAACTGTATCACGTCAGGTAGCCTAAACCTTTCTTTATGTAATTGTTAACATAATGGGTCCAGGCATATTAAATTATTAATGTTAATATTCTTCTTTCTGTTTGTGGCAGCCTAGCATGACTTTCCTAGTATATGATAAATACTAGTATCTCTTCAGCTGTTGTTTTATACATTCAGCCACATTCGGAGCAGAGGGTTTTTCACACCTTGTTGTAGTTTATCTACAGTCAGATGAGAATAGCAAACAGATACAAATAGTTTTAGGTGAAATCTGAATTTAAATCATTTTACACTTTAAAGCAGATCTTTATTGCAGCTGATGAGAATTTCAGTGCATGTTTGTACTAAATGTATCCGGTTTGCTACAGTGATCGGACTGATGCACAGATCCCAGCTTTTTTTTCTGGTTTTTCTGTATCTGTCTGTATTTTTTTTGCTGCTCTACCTGATCTGAGCTCTGGTCCATAAAACTTAATTGTCGACATCTCCTCCTCAGGAGTGTGTGTCAGCAAGTGCTGGCTTGAGCATTGTGGGCAGCGGGCCAGGGACAAGTGGTGGAGGTGAGATGCCCGGTTCATTCGTGCCAACCGTCACTGCCATCACCACCAGTCAGGACCTGCAGTGGATGGTACAGCCAACCCTCATCTCATCCCAGGCTTCTGGACAGAGTGGCTCCACCGGGACCACGACCATGACCCAACCAGCTTCACTGGTTGATCCGTTTGACATGCCAGGCCCGAGTTATTCCTCGGGATCTGGATTCACCCCACCGAGTTCAGAAACTCCAGGGCCAGCAGCTGGCCCTGTCCGTCAGTCCAGAGCCCGAACTCGGCGTACACGAGAAGAGTCTGTGAGTGAAGATGGAGATGTTGGTGTGTTAGTAAGTTTGCGTGCTTGAATGGTTTGTCTGTTGACCCTCGCATGTTATACATGCACTGCAGGTATATTGTTTACGAGGAAGCCAGTAAAGGTAATAACGCTGTGTCTGTAATGTTAAGCAGTGGTGTGTGCTAACACTAATGGGTGGGTGGGTAATTAATTGGTGTATTTGGTGTTTGCTTTGGTATTTTCTCATTTGCACAAACCTACTAAACGGCAGAAGGCTAGTTCACTGTTCAGGCACAAGCAACTTTTATCTGTCAGCTGTGATTAAATGTAGCTTTATTTGGTGTTTTTAAGCTAAATTAGTCAATTAAAATAGCCAGTGTTTTTTTTTTAAGCTAATCTGTATTCTTCCTTATCTTAGCTAACACCCGAGGAAGAAGAAAAGAGACGTGTTCGTCGAGAGAGGAACAAGCTGGCTGCTGCCAAATGCCGAAATCGCAGACGAGAACTTACAGACAGACTGCAGTCGGTGAGCCTGGCCCTGTTCTTGCTTTCAGAGCGAATGATGATGATAATTGCATATTTTATGTTACCTCCCATAGCATCGTGTGGTGGGGTAATAAATGCTTGCATGTGTGTACAAGAGAGAGGATTATGGTAATGGGTGTTTAGCTGCAGCGAAGACAATTACAGTCCTCAAAAGAGACTATTGTACTTTTGGTAGTTAAGGCCTAATTAACATACTCTTCTATAAGCCACCTTGCATATACGGCTGTAGGGGAAGCAGGGAGGTATTTCTACTGGAATAAACACAAAGAAGATTGGCATACCTAACACTCCTTTCTTCTATCTGCTGCACATCTTCTTCCCATTTCACCCACCTTTGCCTTGTTCCCGTCTCCTTCTCCCCCATTTTTTCTTTCATCCTCTGTACCAACCCACAGGAGACAGACGTACTGGAGGAAGCAAAGGCAGAACTGGAGGCAGAGATCTCAGAGCTACAGAAGGAGAAAGAGCGCTTGGAGTTTGTGCTGGTGGCTCACCAGGCAAACTGTAAGATCCCATACCAGGACCAGCCTCAGCAGGGCTCAGCACAGCTGCCTCCAGTGCAGTCCCAGCTGCCTCCCCAGGCCTTACAACCGCCTGTCTCCATTGTGGGCTTGACTGTGAAGGAAGACTCTTTCTATCTGCCTCCTGCCTACACAGCCCATCCTGCCTCCACACAGTCCCAGCCTCCGGTTCAACAGCAGCAGCAACTCCAGCAGCAGCCTCAGCCTGGAATAATGCAGGAGGTAGAGTTCTCTAGTTCTTTTTATGGCTCAAGCGAGCCAGCACCTGGTGGGCCATGCCTTATGGTCAACGACAGTGGTGGTGGTGGTGTTAACCATGACGATGCGGCCATTGGCAGCTACAACACCTCATACACATCTTCATTTGTGTTCACCTACCCAGAGGGAGCCTGCGGGGTCAGTGCCAACCAGCGGAACAGCAGTAGCGAGCAGTCGTCCGATTCTCTGAACTCGCCTTCTCTGCTGGCGCTCTGACTGACCGACAGACACACGCATACACATGTTAACACACACGCACATTATTCTCGCTGGAAGTAGAGGCTGAAGTACACGCACAGTACCGATCAGCCTCACCGATTGAGAAAAAAAATAACAACAAAAACAACCAATGGTTTACATCTGATTGGATTATGAGTTTACACATTCTGAAATGTATCCTAATTAAGAGCCATACAAATAGTTGCACATTAGGTCTAACCTTTAACATTCACTATATTTTAGTTTTCTATTACACTCGCAACTGGACATTATGGGTGAATAAAACTGGGTTACGAAAACTGAGTCCAAGTTGCCAATCTTAAGTTCTGTGGCTTAACAGATTAATTCACAGTGAATTCTCTTAAGCTTGTACTCTGACTGAGTAAGAAACAACACGATCACTCCGACAAGCACAAGCGCCCCTAACTTGTTCCCTCTGTCGGTTGCCCCTCTTCCAGTGCTCCCATCCTTTTCCATGCTTTTCTTCCTCTCGCTGAATGTATTTGTGCAAATCTGAAATAGGGACGAAGGACGCTCTGTTCAGGTTTTCTTCTCGTGGGAGACAGGCTGCTGATCTCTCGCTCACCTCTAACTGTTCATCTGCTCGACTTCCCTCTGCTTCTTCATTTGCTGTTTGGACTTGGCAAGTTAAGGATCTGAGTGTCACAGCCCGCCACTAAATCTTGTGCTTTTTCCTTCTCTCGTTTTTTCTTTTTCTTTTTTTTTTAACAAAAAAACCACAAAAAAAAAAAATCTTCTGACGTCTGCCTACCTGCTGTGCGACCCATCTCTACCCATCTCTGTTTTCTCCTCTTCTGTCTCTTTCTCCTTCTCTCTGAAGTCTTCGACCCCCGAGAGCCCGAAGACACCCTCCAGCCCTTGGGACCTTGAGTGAAAGCCGGCTCAACTAACATGCCCCCCTTTGAACCCTGTCATACAAGGACATGGACGCAAGCCCAACCAAACGGAAGAGTCTTTTCTTGGAGCACGTTGCTCAAATCCTTACAGTGAACAGCAGCTAAATACTCTGAACACGCACACAGACGCATAATTGATGAACAAACACATGCAAAAAAAAAAAAAATGCAAGATGGATGCCACTGTCTTCTGCTGAGCCATTTTTCATGTTGTTCACACAATGAAGATTAGACACACCAGTTGTGAGGATATAGAGAGACTTAAGGAATTAAGGAAGCAAGCAGGAAAGGCTCTGAGGGAGTCCGGATAGAGGATGGCTTTCATTTTAACGACGGATTTTTGTGACCAAAAGTTTAAAAAAAAGGAAACAAAACAAAACAACAACAGAAAAAAAGAATAAAAAAACAAATAAAACACACAGAAAAAAAATCTTCTCTTGCCAACTGTGTGGAAGGGTGACCTCAGTAAAAACACCTCCATACCACAGAGCCTCATCGCCCTGGGCCGACATGCGTATATTCACGCCATCGCTTTCAGCAACTGAAGATGTTTGCTGCAGCGCACCAGCTCAGAGTTTTGCTCACACTCATTCAGATGTGAACCGATGCCTTTATTTAGAGGACAGACTTTTTCTTTTTTCTTTTTTATTCTTTTTTGGGGATAGTGATTCAGACAACCTCTAAACATTGGGCTCAGTGGTCTCTGTACCTCCTCTGTTCTCTAACGGGGATGAGGCGGAGGTGCGTTTATTGTGAGTGCGTCCACTCTGAGGCACCTGGCCCGTTTATTTCTTTCTTTATTGAGGTTGACGGGGCCAGTGAGCACAAAAGCAAGACCTGGAAACGAAAGGGGAGAACGTGTGGGCTGTTGTTTTGGAGTAAAGCGTCCTTTCCTTTGCCTGTGAATTTGTAATTTTTTTTTCCCTGTATGTTTGAGTAAGAACCGTTATATATTTTAATGTTTATATTTGTTTGTGTGTTTCATTGTTTTGCATTGACCTCCGCTTTCTCCTGTACTGTTAGCGTTTATTATTATTTTTGTATGTTTTGTCATTTTAAGTGGGAGATTTCTTCACAAATGTTCCTATTATATCTGCATACTTATTGTTTCATTATCTTATTGTATTTTTTTTTCATTTGGCAACTTTGGAGGCATGCTGTGCACTACGAGGAAAAAAAATTTAAGTCCATACCCATCTACATAGTTAAAGGTAACATGTATATATATAAAAGTATATATACCATGATGTATGAATGTCTGTAGATCTAAATGGGATATTTTTGTCAATGAAGAAGAAGATAAAATAGTAAAATCAATATTTTTCTAAATGAACAAACATATATATATATATATATATATTATAAAGTACTGCCCTGTCCCTCAACATGAAGCACGATGTCACTGCCTCTGTCAATGTGTATTTATGTTTTATAAACGATATAAAGCACTATCCGAGTTACATTAAATGTATGTTTATAATGACAATGATGTTAGAAGGTTGTGGTAATGCCTTTGTTTTGTTTGTGTTTTCCTCTGTGAGGTCTGTCCCAAAGCTACTGACACCTTAACGCCACTTGCTCCTTAGCAGAAAACGAGGGGGAAAAAAGTGATTGAATGTCAATGCGCATATTAAAAGTGTAAGTGTTCAGATGAAAACGTGACGATTAAACTGTTTGATTTGTAAGGCCAAAGTATTTCACACCCAGTGTAAACATGCCACTCAGTGGCGTTCGCATTTCCGATAAAAAGTGTTTGAAGCATAACTGCAGCCTTGATTGATGGGCGTCATCATGTTAAAGCTGATCCACTGGTATACTCGACAATACATGTTGCCTTTCTGAGATTAAAAAAAAAAAACAACCAAAAATCAATTGTTGTTATTGCTGGATGAGAAGCTTTATTTTTCAACTAATAAACATGTTTATTCCAAAAAGAAAAGAAATTGCTGGTTTAATGGTATAAATCTTTGCTAAATAGTGGCTCTGGGTGGTCAGAAAATGGGCAGACCTCATGTTTTTTTTGTTTTGTTTTTTAAATGTTGTATAAGGACTGTGTTTGTACAGATGTTGGAGATGCCTTTTTGATCTCTATCCAAATGCAAATGTGATGAGAATATGTTCTGGTGTCAGAATGAGCATAAAACATATTCAATAGTTCTCATGTATATAGATTTTTGTGGTGCTACTTATACTAGACTACAATGATGAGACCGTTGAGCGGTGGAAAAGTCACCGAAGGTCCAGACAAATGAAAACGCTGGTTGTCTCATCAGAATTTTGTATTCTGAACGAAAGCTGATAACAGTGAATTCGATGCAGCTGAAGCTCTGAATACTCAGTAATAGTTTAATATCAACTGCCTGTTCCATCTCCAAGTGTGGAAAAAATAGATCTCAGAGGGCCCTTGTACTGTACCTGCATTCCACACTTACATCTCTGATCATCACACAACATATTAGACTCATTCTTTAATGAAATTTGTTTGCTTTGGATTTAATTGAAATCGTTTTTATTTTTCCTTTGATAATTGTGAGGTTACAATAACAAATGGGTTGCTCGTAAATTGGAAAAGGTGACACAAAAGGACGAGAAGAAATATCCAGCTGTGCGATGGCTATGTTAGCGTTAACTGAAAACAAAAAAGAGTTTTCTTATTTTTCTATGATGAGGTGAATGTTTCTATGTATTTCTATTTTTCCACAATTCCCATCTGAGCTCCAGTTTCATATCATCTGTTATGAAATGCAATATTATTATCCTCTTGGATGAACATAATGTAGCAAATTACACAGTGATCAAACTGACTGCTACTATATGTCAAGTGTGATGATGTATTGCTTTAATTAACACGTTTTCTTACAGTATTAAACGTTATCCTTATTGTTTAAAATAACATCTAGTGTGAGACAAGCGTCACAGAGAATGTATCAAAAAATCTATAATTTTTTATTTATATATTGATGATACATAAAGATTAAAGTTATAGAAAGCCACAGCTTTTATCAACATCTTTTCTTGTTTTTTAAATAAACTCTCATATTATTTTCTGTGAGTGAAAGTTACAGTTTTGGAATACATAATAAATATGGGTACAGAAGTGAAGGGCATGAAGAAATTCTATGAAAGATGTAATTAAAGATACATGGATTATTACATAACGTGCTCATGAAGGTGCTCTGATATCAAATTATCAACTGGTCTATTTTGTAGTCCATTTACATCACCCTAATTTATTCTGTACGTCACAAAAATGTAATGTTTACTTATTTTTACAGCCTTATTTTCTTTTTCTTTTTTAAATCTTGGAAGAGTACAAAAGTGTATGACATATTTTCCGTGTCACTTTTGCGGTCTCTGCTCTGTGAGCTCCTGTGTCCGTTATTCCACCTCTGGCTTTGCCATCTTAAAAAAAAGTTTACATTATTTTATTTTTTTTCCTCATTTTCTAGTCTATGAGAGCTGGGTGAGCTGTCTCCTTTAATGATGGTTTGGCTAAATGCCTTACATTTTTCCAGTTTATGAAGAATTGCATAAATAACATATCTTGAGGTGCACTTCTCTTGTGTTTTTTTACACTTGTTTTGCTCTTTTTGAGCTCCTTAAAAGATTTACTTGAGTCGAGACTGCAGAAGTTGAGCAAGAACCTGAAAAGTGCATGTATGTATCATTTTTCTGAACTGCAGTTTCTTTTCTTTATATTTTATCCTGATGATTATTTTCATACATTCCACAAAATGTAAAAAAATAATAATAATAATATTAATAAAAAAATATCCATCACAGTTCTTTGGACATTAAGTATTATATGCTGTACCATCTTGTTATGTTAAACCAATCTGATGTCTACTGTCACAAAAAATCCTTACATTTAACAAGCTCCAACCAGATAACATTTTGCTTACATTAATGAAATAACATGTTGTAACGCTTGGTTTACTCTGTGTTTAAATTCCTGTAATTTACAGAAATATGCAGATAGAAGAGTACAATGTATTTATGAAATGCAATATGCAAAAGGGTCACTGGCAAGTCTCAAAATTCAGTTTATTTGTACATCCCAGTCTCACATATAGAGGTTCAAAGGGGTTCTTCTCTGTGAGGAGGATTAAATTGACAGCAATTTGGGATTAAAGGGTTGAAGAGTGAGTAGGGACAGAGTAGCCAACTTTCAGACATATAAGAAGGTCCAAGATCATTTAGGATTTTATATACATATATGTAAGAGTCAGTCAAAAGTCAATGAGATGTGCTGTGAGATACTGGAAGCCAGTGTAGCTCTGCTAAAACTGGACTGATCTGCTCCCAGTTATTTTTTTTCCTTTAGTTAATAACGTTGCAGGAGAGTTTTGGATAATCTTTTTGGGATGTCCAGAAAAAAAGAGCACAGCAGTTCCACTGGACATGAATACAAGAACAAGGTTTTTAGAGTCAGAGTATATCAGGAAGGGTTTTATCTTGGATATATTCCTGAGATGTCTTACTGATGGAATTAATGTGAGGTTTAAAGCTCAAATCAGAATTTAAAACAACCCCACGACTTTTAACTTGTGGTTTTCCTCATACCCAGTGACTTGTAAGAGTATAATAAATTGATTATAAAAAAAGACTTATAAAAATGCTTATTTATTAATGTTTTTCATTAATCTGTATATTAACTGTGTGTAAAATGTCTATGTTACTTATCTGAGCTGTGCAGAGCTTTATAGTGCCTTTTGGCTTTTTTTAATTATTTTTTTGTTTGGGTGAGGGCACTTCATGTTTCATTTTTGAAATTAGAAGGATGAAGACAAAGCACTGATAAACAGAAAGTGAATACTTACCTCCATCAAGTGGTCAGAGACTTCACTCCGGATGTATTTTTGCTTCTGCTGCTGCAGGTGAGGCCTGTTGCTCCATATCTGCTAAAAAAAAAAAAAGCTTATTTTCAAACGTAAAATTCAAATAGCGACAGCCCTCAAACTTAAAGTGACTGTCACTGGCTGTCATTTAT